GGCATATTGGCACAGGTAATAAAAAATTCCTATAAACTTAATCCATCTATGTTTTCAAACATTTAACATTTATTAAAATCTAATAAAAAGCCTCTCAAATGTAATTAATATAAAATCACAACTCGTGAATGCTATAAACACAAGACAAACATAAAATAGAAAATATTTTAAAGTTCACAAAACTAATTAAAGCTGTTAGACCAAAGGATTATAGTAAAAAGTAAAGATTTCTCTTTATTTCCAGAGTTTTATTTTCTACATCTCCTGGGTGGTGCTGATAATCATTGCTTAATATTTGCTTAGGTTTTTAGCACAATGACTAAGCATGAAGGAAAATGAAGCTCACCTTGGGCCAACTGGCTTTCCTGGTTCCTGGGTGGAAACTACCAGACTATATACTGCACCACCCAACACACTTCAAATGCCACCACTGATCACAGGTTCAGACAGCTGTGTGAAATCAGTCTCACTTGCTTCATCCCAGCACTCTCCAGTTGCTTGTTTGATGAAAAATCTTACTCTTTGTAATATGTCTATCTGCATTAGTGTAACCCGACTCTGCCCGTTCTAAGTCACCACTGCTGTAATCATCCCTGGGTATTCCTGGTTTATTTTCTTCACAGAGTTTGCTAAAATTGTATTAAGAAATGAAAGCAGTGGAGTCATATGTAGATCCAGTCATATGACTGAATCCTTGTACCATATGATCCAGGGAGGGAGCTAAGGTCTTTGATATTAGCATGAAACAAGGCAAATATGTTCTAACTTGGATTAAGCCACTTTTCTTTCAACCATTATGTATGCAGCCTTCTTCTGACTCCAGTTCCAAGACTGTACATGATATTGCACTAGGTAATGATCATGTCTGTCTTAAACATTCAGTCAATAACACCTAGGTAGATGTCAAATCTGAGAAAACTCAATGACATCCAAAACTTCTCCTAGAACAAGCAAGGAAAATGAATTTTTCTACAGACATAAGCAGTTATTTGTTCCTTCAGAAAAGATATCCTTATAGGTTGTGGTTTTATTGTCTTGATGACTTTAATCAAGTCTGAACTTTAATTAATGTTCTTTCTCTCAATGATTATAGCTATTCTATGTTTTCTATAACTCTTTGAACAAATTCTGTGTTTATTCTGATTGTCTCTTCAAAATATATATTCAAATATACAACTGCATATGGAATAAAGAATTTCTTCCAGGAATACCAAAATGAAAAATACTTAACAATGCTAAATATCTACAAAGACGAAGAATAATTAAATTCTGATACTACTACTATATTGTTGGTACAAACAGAAATGGAAACAATCACCTTAGAAGACTATTTGCTAGTCTTCACTTAAACTAACCAATTCAAACCCTATTATCTATTCCCTGTTTTATAGCAGAAATTTGTAGTAGGCATACTGAAAAGCAAATCTACTTATGATATTTCCCAAATGGGAAACAACTAAATTCCCATCTGTGCATTCTACGAATTCCATTGTAAGTAGACAAAGGAAATCTATTCATTAACTCAAAAATGAACTATTGGTATGTAACAAAATGACAGTGGATTTTATAGACATGACAGTGAACGCAAGCAGTCAAATGCTAAAGACTACATATTGGCAGCAATAGTAACTGTGATGTCTTTAAAAAGAAGAAATTTGTGTGTTGGAGATATTCTACACAGCAATCTCTCCTCACTATAATTTCACTTTCCCAGATCTCAATTACTTGAAATCATCACCCTTTAAAAATATTGAATAAAAATTCTCAAATAAACAAATTTAAAACTTTAAACTACAGTATGTATTTTAGCAATATGACATCTTGTGTTGGCCCACTATGTGGGACACAAATTATCTGTTTGTCTAACCTCTGCATGATACTTGTCAAAACAGATAAAGAAAGAGATTACATTTACTTAATTTTATTATAGTGTATCACTGTATGCATGTGTCACCATATGCATGTACTCTATATATTTTATTATATGCACACTGAGTGCTCTGTTTTATGGTTATTTCTCATTGTGTCTAATTTAGAAATAATCTTTATCATAGATAAACATATAGATAAACATATAGATAAACACATAGTACCATAACTATGGGTTTCAATATTATTCGTGGTTTCAAGTAACAGCTTGGCCTATGGACAGAGGGTGGGTTGTATGTTTTCACATGAGCAGTGATCATACATGTATGCATTTACACATGTATAGTTTAATGACTTACATTCTTTATACATGTACATTTTCACATATGAGTAGCAAGAGAGTTGGAAAAGACAACATCTCCCAATGATGTACAAACTGGGCAGATTTCTCAAGCATCAGAAAGAGGTTCTGATGTGAAACTTTCTGTAATAAGGATGTTTGTAAACAGCAGTAAACCAACCAGTGGGCCTATTCCTGCAGCATGCCCACGCTGTACCAACTACTGTGTTGGTGAAAAAAAATCCTTGAGGGTGATCTCTTCCTAGGGTTTCTGGTGTGTTTCCTTGTGCAGTTTGAGGAGAGAAAGTAAACTTGTACACTATGAGGGTACAGTTGTGGCAAGATTGGGTTCAGATCTAGTATTTTGTGAGTTATTTTCCATCTGGACCTATGAGATTTACATTTATTTTGTATAGGTTTATGAGAATCAAGAGGAATGACTTCTGTAGGGATGATTTTTGATGCTAAGGTCCTGTTCCCCAATTGGTTCTTGATCTGTCAGCAAGAAAGCTATGGGCCTATTGCTGGGTGGAAGGTACAGGTGGGACTTCTGGGTTCCTGGAAGAGAAGAAAGACACAAGAAAGGAGAGGAGTTCTTTTTCATGCTTTGGAGGAGAAGAACCCAGCAGCCATGTGAGGTCTTGGGAGGAGCTGGGGCCTGTGGCCGCTACTACAGGCAGGTGGTCAGGGATGTTTGGCAGTGGCTAGATGGCACTAGCCACCAAAGTTTAGGGTGGGAGGTACACAGCTAAGAGTATTGAGAAGGGCATGCTGAACCAGGAAGGAGATAGTAGCACCCAGCAGTTGTACCGAGAAGACAAGTTGAAAAGGAACAACTGTGTCTGTGTCTTTTATCTGAGAATTAAAGGGAAACCTGGTAGGGGCTGGTAGGGCAGCTGCTTCTCAAAGCAAAGGCAGCAGCACAAAACTACATGCAACAGACTTCAGCTATCATTGCCTTAAAATATAGAGATTGACAGCACAGGCCTGAGATCCTAGCTATTTGAAAGTTGAAGCAGAAGACACAAGTTCAAAGTCAGTGGAGGATAAAGAGTGAATTAAAGGCTAAGCATCACCATGGCATACACCTTTAACTCAAGCACTTGGGAGGCTGAGGCAGCACATCCCAGAATGGCCAACATAGTGAGTTCTAGGTCAGTCAGAGCTACAGAGTGAGACTGTTTCTTAAAAAACAAAACAAAAGAAAAGATAAAGAAAGGAGAAAAGTGTAACTTAAAAAAAACAAAAAACAAAAAGAGAGAGTTCAAAGCCAGCCTAGACAACTTTGTAAAACAGGAGGAGGAGGAAGCAGAGGAGGAAGAGAAGAAAGATGAGGAAGAGAAGGAGAAAGAGAAAGAGGAAGAAGAGGAAGAGGAGGAAGAGGAAGAGGAAGAGGAGGAAAAGCTGGACTTTTTACAAGAAAGAGAGTTTATAGCCTCAGGATATTATAGAAGTGATTCATAAAAGTTTGCTTGCTGATACTGCCCTGACCATTTCTGGTCTAAATTTGGATTATTGAGAAAACACACTTTGAGTCAAGCTTGTTTGCTGGTGCTTGCCATATCAGTCCTTGGGAAGCTGAGAAAGAAGATCATACATTTGAGGCTAAACCTACAAAACAAGACCTTCTCTCGATTTAAAATTAAAGACATATTGCTCTTGAAGATTATATTTTTAGAGCTATTGATCTTTGGTATAGTATTTATGTAGCCTTGTGATCTCTGGAGAGTATCACACTGGGTCTTGACTGTTCTAATGAGTAGAAATGAAATCCCATTTGTATTTAGAGCCATTAAACTGGAAATTGGACCAACTGGTACAGCCAAATGAGAATTTTCTGAAAACACAAGTACTTTATTGGAACTGTTTCTGTAGAGCCCTGATCAGAATAAACACAAACTCATGCAGGGCTTTCCAACGTATTGGCTATGGAAAGAAGCCCTTTCCAGCATATTCTTCTGAAAATGTAAAAGTTTAAAGAACAATGAACAAAGACTACTTTAGTTAACACAGTATCTAATCTATACCACACAAATTTGTGTTGTCTCATTCAGAGACCTTCTGACTGAAAGTGTCATAAGTTCAAGCGTAACTAAAGTAGGAAGAAAAGGAAATTTGTCACTCAGTTAGAACCCAATGTTCTGCAATTGGGCTGGTTCTCAGCCCAGCTAGATTATGTTATCAAAAATCCTCTCTCCCACGTCTGCTCTGTTGCCCTTCGGGACTTCCTTCTCTTGTAGCCTTTCTCTATCTGCTGGGACCACTGCCCTTGGCAGTTATAGGCTCCTCTGATTCTGACAGAACATGACTCCCACAGTGTCAACAAACTCTGTCTTCTACTCATAATATTAACAGCTGAAAAGAACTCTGATTGATCTACCTTACACAAGCTCCACCAGGGAATTACCCTGTGTGTATATCAGGGATGGAGATGGAATGGGATGATCCCTCTGAGAGAATGACAATCAGGGACAGGGAAAGTGAGCTATACTCTAGGGTGTCATTCAGGAGTCCTGGGCTTCCTGCTAAGATGAGGGATGGGGATGAAGAGAGGACCAATGTCTGAACCAATTAAATAGAACCAGTTCCAGGATTATCAGCCTTGGGTACAACCTGATTTCTGATGCAGGACAGAAGACATCTGCTTCAGTTGCACAACAAAACGCTGGCAAGACATGCTCGACGAGCATCTGGAGGCTTGCTTGCAGGGTCCTTTCTAGCTGTGAGCCCAACATGACTAAGTAGGATTTCATCAGACAAACTCCCACCAAGTAACAACTACTTCAAAATGTAAAGTATAAAGTAAGATTTATTGAAGTACTAGGACAATGTATTCTTAATATGATCAAGAATGTGAAAATTGTAATGTTTTTCAAAGCATTTCATAACTGTATGAGCATGGCTGTGTTCATGGATGAAGGCAGACCTCGAGCAAACAAAATCAAAGCAAAACTCTGTTACCTGACAGCATTTACATACCAACAATTGCCTCTTATATTATGAGGCGTTAGACTACCGAGTCTTACAACCTAAATGCTGCTACCACACATGGTCCTGATTCCGAAAGATGGGTTATCCTTCTCAAGTCTCACCCTTCCCAAAGTACAAAATAGAAAACAAACAAACAAACAAAAACCCAAAGAATCCCCAAGCAGGTACTAAGCCACAAAAGGAATAAAAATTGAGCAATTCAAAAGTAGGAGTGAAGGCCAGTGTTTTCTGAACACACAGGACGGCCAGGACAATGTTCTTGTTTTTCACATGTCTTCCGCATTTGTAATGGTCTGTAACCATTTATCATTATAAGTGTAAGCAGACAGATGCACTGACTATACTTTTTCAAGTTATTTTTTGGAGCATCTTTCATGAAGATCACAAATGTTCTCTCCTACATGTCTCTTCTGTAGCTGATAGTTAAGTTCTAGAGCTACAGAAAGACTTAGCAAAGCTGGTCACTTTCTGAGCCTTAGGCCACCTGATCTTTGCTTAGGAGAGGCAGTGTAGCTCACAGGGTTGTGATTTTCCTTATAATCTCAGAAACAATTTAAGCATTCACTGTGTGCCTGTGGTTTCAAGCCAAGTTTTTTATATGGACTCCAATTGTCCCCAGCCCAACTCTCATTCTGCTAACAGAGAGAGACCCCTTTGCCTGAATGGCTGAGTTACCAGTGTGGCTAATATATTTCTTCTGACTTTGCTGCTGAAAAATAGATGCTCCATTTTGACAACATAGGTTAAATTCTAAGGCAATATTAAAAGCAAAACCAGAAAGGGTGATCTTACTAAGATTATGTGTTAAGTGAGAGGAAATTGTATTATGAAGACTTCCTTCTATATTTACATGCTATTGATGCAAATCTTATTCTACAGATTAATTCAGAGTCACAAGAGATTATTTTTAAAGTATTGATTCACTAAGTAGAAATACCTCATAAGAAATAAAAAATTAAAATGCATTCCTATAAAATATAAATGTACAGAAATATGCTCATTCACACAAAATATAAAATCAGTATATCTCTGGCAAAGCAAAAGGCTTAATAGAGTGTGAAAGATTATTGGTGCAGGATTTTCTGTATATAATGCTTTAAAACTTATTGAAATATTTTATTAAATGTCTGCTATTATTTGATTCTTATTTGGGGGTTTTAGCAGAAAAAGATTATTGTTAGGCTTGCTATATTCAGATAAACTTCTGTGTTTTACAGACATTTATCTTAACATCTTATTTTTTGAGACATGGTCTCACTGTGTGGCCCTGGCTAGGCTGGAACTCTCTATGTAGACCAGGATGGCCTCAAAGATGGAGATCTGCCTGATTCTGCCTCTCGATGCTGATATTAAAGATGTGTGTCACCACAAGCTCTTTATTCTTTTTCTCCTCTTTAAATTCCAGTTTTGAATCTGTTCAAATTTACTTCATAACTGAAATAAACAGAACAAAAAGTACTGATAAAGAAACCCTTGGAATGTGTGGGTAGACATTGCTCTAAGAAAATCGAAACAAAAGTTTAATAAGCTGTTCTAGTCACAAGCCATCCCTTTCTCAATATGCTCCTGTTTTCAGCACCTCTGACCAATTCATGGAATCTGCACACATCTCTCTTTGCTTCTTGGGCTTCTTCTGTCGAACATGGGCTGGTACATTTCGGCCGCTACGCAGTAACTGGAATGGGGTGTCAGACCTTCAATTTCAACAGCTCTCTGAGTTCCTTCATAGACTTTTTGTTCCTACACACAGGGAGAAATCAGCTGATAAATGGTTTTTAGTGAACAATTAAAATCGACGAGTTCTATGCGATCATGGTAAATCTTCAAGGAAAACCTCCTTCACCAAAGCCCTGAGCTGTAGCTGGAGGAAGCCACATGTTGAGTGGTCATGCCACAGGATGTCTCCTGGAAGGCTAATGATGGATGGAACCGTGGCCAGAATCTCACTTTCTAGCATTTGAGCTCTGAGTAAGGAAATGACATGGACTGGTAAGGTTCCTGTGGAGGTGCGAAGAACATGGCTATAGACACACAGTGAAGACAAAGAGGAAGTCTGCAGAGCCCCAAGTCTGGCAGCACCTGTTTCCTGTTTCTGGGTGTCATGAATGGCTTCTTGTCTGTTGCTGAACTAGCCCTCTTCTTTTGTATATGAACCAGTTTGAAAGTTTGTTTTCTTCCTTCCAACTAATGAACCCTGGCTTAGATGGATACATAAAAGGGACATTTTGCTTACCTAGATAAATGTGCTGGCAGTGGATTTTCCATTATAAACTACCAGTGCAAGTCTACTAAACAGTGTGATTCAAAAGCTACTGAAATAAATAGGGGGTGTAAGCTAATATAAATAAACATTAACGGCAGATAGATGGAATGACATATTAATACTAACTTTTTGATATGTGGGGAAGTCTAAGGGAAGCAGAGTGAGGATCAGAAAGGGTACATATGTACTATACACACACACCACACACGGGAATGCATGCACACATAAATTCTGATGATGATCCGGGCATCATGAATAAAAGACAGGGAATGATCTAGAGATGTAACAACGAAGAGACAGGTCGGTTGTGTGATACAACTAAATTGTTACTTAAGTTAAAAAGGGACCCAGGAGTCTATTCATCTGAACTCACCTTCTCTAGTGAATTGTTGATTGTGAAAACTCGGTATACTAAGTTATAGTAATTTTCCATGGATGTATTTTTACCAGTTTGGTTTCTATTTGGCAACTCTGGAGGACGGAGAAACACCCTCAAAGATGCATTAACTCGGGTTATAGTCACAACCGGAGGATCTAGTTTTGCTGGAGAAAGAATAAGGAATTTTGATAAAGCATTTAGAACAACTAAATGCTATAAATTGACACTATACATCGCGATAAATCACTATAGTGTTCAGAAGTGTGGCAAAAACCATTGTGAAGACAGCTTTTCTTCTATTTTTAAAACATTGATATGATTCTGTCTGTTTCAATATTGAGAGAGTCTCTACCAATCATTTTGTTAACATGATGCCTTTGTTATAAAATTAAGTATAGAAGTTATTCGGAGGGAAGTCTTAGAACAAAGAAGATTTTATTTAATTCCTTAAAGAAATAAGATTTCAAAAACAGTTTTAAAACCATACAAAGACTTGTAGCTATTAAGTTAATTCAACAGTATTATGTTGTATATTATGGACACTGGTGGTTTAAAAGAGAGTATTTGGTTCATGCATATTGTTGTCAATAGCAAGGTTATTATTAATAAAGAAAGAGAATAACATTGTTGATTTAATTGATTCCAGATTCACTAAATTTTGCAGCGGACAATTTTCTTGCTTAATATTTATTATAATTTTCACTTCATAGATTCACATCTTTTATAATTCTTGAAATATATTATAGATAGATAGATACACACATACATCCTATGCACATAAATACAGATCTCTGTATGGTTTTTTCCTCCTGAAATTTTGACAAACTTTTTTATCATTTGTCATGTATCTTACTTTCTCTTATTTTCAATTTTTTCTTCATGATATCATGTTGATTTTTTTTCAGACCTGTTTTTTCAATCTATGAGTTTATTCTTCAGTTGTATCTGATCTGAGCTTGAATCCACAATTTTTATTCCAGAGGTTTTATATTTTGTAAGTTTACCATATATATGATTTTTTCTCTTCAAATTTCTGTTTGTAAGAGGTAAAATTTTAATACAAACCCCTTTGCCCTGGATCCTTAATTTAGAATCAAGGTAAACTGGGTTTTCAAATACCTTGAATTTTTATCTGATTGCTTGAAGAAGGAATTTCCCTGTATTTATACTTTACCCCTCCAAGAGCTCTGGGGTTTAACCTCTGTTGTGTATTTCATGCTCCAAGTTCTGCTGACCAGAGCGCTCTCTCACCATCATGCAAAGATTTGGAGAACAGTCCTGTTTAGTTTTGTGGGATTTTATGATTTGTGTTCAATTTTTTCTAGACAAAAAATTTAGCATTATTATCACATTTGGCATCTTCAAACACCCTTTCTTTTGTGTGACTCCTTGTTTACAAGATACTATTGTGCATTTTCCTCACTAGAATATAATATTTATGTAGTATTTGTTCCTTGTTCCCAAGCAGTGATTATAGAAGGGGCGTCACAATCATGAGCATCCAGAACCTGTGTTTTCAAAGTCTCAATTCATCATCTTGAATTTTATTAATTAATGCTATTCTTAATTTTAGAAACCAGTGTTTTAAACCTTTTTTTGGAAGGTATATAGACGCAGAAATACCTGTTGACATAGCTAAGCCATCCATTTCCCCACCCTACCCGCCTCTCTTGCTTTTTGCTGTGCAGACACTTTTTGCAGACAAGACACTCTTGTCCTAGAAACATTGTCTCCCTATGGTGTTAGTGAACTTAACAGATTGTCAATCCCTTCCTGTCTCTTTGTCTATTTGTTAAAATTCTTCTAAAATTCTTGCTGCTCTGGCATCTTTTGGTGAAATACCCTTAATGTCTAGTCTCATAAATCAGCACCTTTCACTCAATACACTTCTTCTATCCAAATTTACCAATGTCTATTATTGTGATATGCAAAAGATTCATAGATTCATGTCTTTAACAGAAGCCATCCTTAGCTCTGTGTACTGGATCTGTACAGCCACTTTGTGTGGGTAGTTCCACACATCTTACATTCAACATAGTAAAAATTGAACTCATATTTTTGATTACTTAGCATGCCTCAAAACTTCTCTTTTCCCATGAAATCCCATCAAAAAATATCTCTGGTCTGTGTAGCTGTGTCAGAGACAAATGTAGAAGACACCTTGACATGTTCTTCTCCCTCTGGAGTAAATCCACCCTGCCCCCATCTCCACCTAGTGGTACCTTCTCTATAGTGCTTTTCATGTTCCTAATGGAAACCACAGCCTGTTTTCTGTAGCCTGTTACAGTAGTCTACTACTTCCCTTTCCTGCCTCCTGCCACAAATCTGCTAATACAGTCTCCTGTGAAGTTTGATGATGATATGATCAAGATTCCATCTTACGAGGCTTGAGATACTTCTCGGTGCTACAGTACTCACTGTGTTATATATACACCGCATTGGGTTTAATTCCAGTATCACACACCACCACCAATAACAACAACAACAACAACAACTACAATAACAACAACTGTTGGCATCAGAAGCAGCCTACAGCCTCTGAATCCAGCAATGGCGATGACATCACCTAGGGGACTAGGTGAATGACTAGGGGAATGGGGACTCACCATGACAACAGACGAGTGGCATCATCACTGGATTTAGAATCTGTAGGCCACTTCTGATGTCACCACCACCACCACCACCACCACCACCACCACCACCACCATCACCAGCAACAACAACCTCCACATTTTAAAATACATTTCTTTTCCTGGAAGAAGTCTTAACTCCTGAGGAGGAAGAGGACATTCTCACAGCTGGCTGCCTTTTCAGTCTGCCCCACTGCATGCTTGCTTCACCATTCCAGCTGCATTTCAGTCTGGAACACATGTGCTAATTCCTCTTGCAAGAGGGCCTTTGTAAACGCTGTTCCCTTTGCCTGGAATGCTCTTCCCTTCCTTCTGTCTGCTTACATACCTTTCATCACAAGGGATCAGCTCAAGTGTCCTTTCCCAGAGTCTCTTTCCTTGACACTCCTGACCTGGACCCTCCTTGGTTATAATCTCGTAGAGCTCACTTTGATTTCCTAGAATCTTTCACAGGTATCATTTTGTGGGTGTGTGGTCATTGTAGTAATATGTGTCTTTCCTATTTAACAGAAAGCTCTGGGAAGAAAGAAACTTGTCTGCTTGCTCTGCTTTTCAAATTCCCTCTGAACCAGACAAAATTGTTGTAAGTACCCTGTAAATATTTTCCATGTGACTAAAGGAGGTATCAGACCCAAAGGAAACTCCATTTCTCCAAATTCCAAAAAGCAGAATGGACAAATGGCTATCTGTGGTGCCATTAGCACTCCAAAGCTCAGGCTGACCTCAGGCTCTCTCACCATCAAGTACCTGTTATACATTTTAAGGTTCATACTGGCATCCCTGCCTTCTTGCCTCCCTTACCCTAAACTTCTCCAGCTCAGATTCTTCCTTCCCCCAAGCTGCTCATTCTTCTTATAACCCTGTTAGGTTTCATAGTCTCTCTCTGTCTCTCTCTGTCTCTCTGTCTCTCTCTGTCTCTCTCTCTCTCTGCAGATGCCTCAGGATGTTCTTTTCCTCATATTTGAAATAAAAGCCTTCCCTTAACCATGCCATGGAGTAGTCATGTCATCAGTTTTTATAAGAGGCAAGTTGATTTTTCATATGACATATCCTATACACAAAGTCCATATATACATTTTAATCCAAAAACAATCTGATACATTGAAATCCTACCGAGCACAGGATGATACTTTTTACAAAGCAATTTTCCTTATTAATGGCTTTGCTTTCTAGATAGGCATCAGAAGTCAGAGCTTAGTGACCTATGACAGTGTACATCTCAGAGCAGTTCTTGGGAGTGCCAATGCATACAGGTGGCTCATTAGTGTTCACATCAGGCCCTAGGAACATACTGTCCTCAGATCCTAGAAACATGTTTTTCAAAACATGATGTTTGCGCAACCTCGGGAGCTGGAGAAGAGAGCCAAGCTGGAGGGGAGAAGTCAGAGCTCCTTCCAAGTGCTCCAAGTAGTAGCCCAACTTAACTGTTTTAGACACTGGGTTTCTCTCTCATACCTGTGAAGTTCTCCTCACATAGAGTATTGAACGAACACTCCTCAAGGCTTTTTCTTTTTTAAGAAGCAGTGATATAGAAATAATCTAAACTCGTGTTAGCTCAACAGCATTTCATTTAAGTAGGACAGCAAAGTCTCCACCACTCCTCTGAGACAGTGTCTTTGGCCATTCTTTTCTTGCCTAATGGATCAGACTTTGTTGAATATTTGAACTTAATCCAATTTCTAGGCTTAAATAAACAAATCGCTCAGAAATATTCTGATTGGTACAAGCAGCTTAGCCATGCAGACTCCGTTACATCAGTTAGAGAACTGTTTATGGAGTGTCGTGACTCAAGCCTCAAGTTGTGCCCAGAAAAAGAAAAGTTAGAGAGCACAGATGGGTTTTCAAATTCTTCTGTTCATCTCCTAATTTAAAAGTTCATAAATAAATTAATTAATAAATAACCTTTCTTCTGAGTTTCATTGCATCTAGCATTTTGGACATAATTCACTAAGTTTAAATCTAACTGAACATTGCATCACTTAGAAGAGATAGAAAAACGAGTCCCAGAACTCTTCACACTGTGGGAGCCAAACCATTACAGATGTTAACTAGAAGAAAGTTCAGGTCTTGGGACATGTTCTCACAAATACTGGTAGCAAGGTTTGACAAATGTCTGCTGGAATACAGTATAGTACTTAAAACTAAGATTTTTTTTTTTTTTTTTTTTACAATTTGGGAAAAGAAAGTAGTGTTTATAGTGACTTTAAATAAGAGGGAGAGGCTACAGAATGTGAGAAAGCTTTGGGGGTAGTGATAGAGATAATTTCTGAGTTTATGGGAGTTAATAGTTTGAAAAGGTTTCATGTAAGCTGGGTTCTGGAACTTTGGCTGAACCTCTGCCCTATATTTCCAAGGTTGTCAAATAAGAAAAGCAAGTCTCTGGTGTAGTCCTGAGGATAGCATCAAGTAAGATGAGAGCACATGACCTGGCTGACCATCCAGAGGTTGTTCAAATGCAGAAGAGAAAAAGACAAGGAACTTGCTGGAACTCACTTTCCCACCATGGAGTGAAGCGGGCTGTTCTGGTCCAGGCAGAGTGGCTTCCAGCCCAGGCCATCATCACCCTCCCATAGTATGGCTCATATGGATCTAAGGTTTCATTGGTCAGGTCACAAAAGAGCACGGTGGTCCCCCAGCAGTCAATTTTATCTTTCCATTGTCTCTGTCCATACCTGAGGGTGGAGAAACACACAGATGTGAGTTTCTACTGTCCCATATGAGGAGTGCTAATTTTCTATTGATTGAAAATTTATGTTATCTTCAAGAATATATAAAAGTTCCTTCATATTAACCAAGCTGTTAGGTTGCTGGAAGATAAACTTTACTTTGAAAACTGTCTTACTAACATAAGGGTTTATTTTCCTTAATATGCAATTGTGTGTTTCTTATGGTGTGTGGACCAGCTTCCATTTTAAGTATTTGCCTTCTACATTCTTAACGCTTCTGAGGCTTCAACTCTGATTATTTCCCCTCCACTTTTATCAGCTTGCTGTTGAGTTATAAGGCCAATTCTGAGACTTTACTATCACTTGCCATCTCAGGTGATGCTTGCAGAATGAACACGCATGGCTCAGCTTTTTATTGGCAACTGAGCAGTTGTACTGAGGACTCCTTAGGGAGGTCTGGTACTAAGGACTAGGGGAGAAAACACTGCAAAAACTGACATGAAGCAAAAGGCCAACCTGAGCCCATAGGATGGTATGATAGCCAACGGGAAGACACACCTTACCTTCCTACCACTCACAGATCTGGAGGGTAGCAAAATAGAAAGCTGAGGAGGAAGATTCCCTGGTTGAAGGACTTACTTTATAGACATATAATGAGCCATATCGCTGGTCCCTATACTCTATAGTCGAAATAGTAACAGAAGCCACATCACAAATGCAGCACAAGTCAATGAATCTAAACCATCCTTCATTGGCTGCACATTGCCTTTGCTAGGGAAACACATCTGTTCTGGTTGATTTATTTTTCTATAAGATTTTGTATTTGTTGTATTCAAAAGTATGCAGATATAATTAACCGTGAGCCACACAAACTGGGTACAAGTAAATGAAAGTTCTCAAAGTTATACGTGTGTCTCTTGAAAATAATTGTTCCAGATACTCTGTGGTCTGAATTTTAAATAAAATTTGGAACTCTCTTAAGACTGTGCCAGAGCCTGACCAATACAGATGTGGATGTTTGCAGACAACCATCAGACTAAGCACGGGGTCCCCGTGGAGGAGTTAGAGGAAGGACTGAAGGAGCTGAAGGAGTTTGCAACCCCATAGGGAGAACAACAATATCAACCAACCATATCCCAGAGCTCCCAGGGACTAAGCCACCAACCAAAGAGTACACATGGAGGGATCCATGGCTACAGCTACATATGTAGCAGAGGATTGCCTTATCTGGTATCAATGAGAGGGGAGGCCCTTGGTCGTGTGAAGGCTTGATGCCCCACTGTAGGGGAATGTGGGGGGGGGGAGGGGTGAGGGGGGTGGGAGCGGGCCCAGGGTGGGGACCCCCCCCATCGACCCCGGGGGGCGGGGGGGCTGGGATGAGAGATTTGCAGAAGGGAAACTGAAAAGGGGGCTAACATTTGAAATGTAAATAAATAAAATAACCAATAAAAAAAGAAACAGAGAAAAAAAGGAAAAAACAAAGAATAAGTTCTACAGAGTCTTCAAGCCTAATCTTAGCTTCATGGTAGAACAGTTTCAAATTCATTTATTGCCTTGGCCAGAGACAGGCTCATTTTGGACTCATTTATATTACCTGCAGACAACAGATAAATAGAGTACCTATCTCCATCCCTACACAGCACAAGCTTCTCCAGCTTGATACAAACCTAGCTTGGAAACAGAAAAAGAATAATACATTTTACGGAGGGAATTAAAGAAAAGTAAACTTCTGGGACATTCATATGGAAATCTGATCAAGGATTTCCCTTCCCTCACCACCATGACTGAAGGCACATGGATGGATTTATGGAGTAAGAGTGCTATTCTGGCTCAAAGCTGTGGTCAGTCGCTCTTGCCTTTTAGTTAGCCAAGATCTCAAGTTATTTAGTGGAAGAAGAGTCTCAAAGTATTATGGGGTGTATAAATAGAAAAACTGCCACTTTCCAATCAAGACTGACTATTTCTTGGCCTTGACAAAGGAAAGTGTTCATTACACCTGAGTTTTGGCATTGCTCCAATAAGAGGAGTTTACAGATTTCATGAGAGGAGCATGCAACAATGTGAACCAACCCAAACCATAACTTACCAATTCAAAATATATTTTACATATTTCGATATTTGCCTCAAGTTTAACCACCAGTAGCCTGAGCTTAGCTGAGTGTTTGCACTGGGCTAAGCAAGTGGCTGCCAACTGTCATTTGTCAAAGTGTGAAGCCATTGTGTGGTGGAAATGCAAGAAGCCAAAGGAGCTCTCTTTCTTGAGCTCCCTAGACTGCATATAGCATCCTTACGCCATGTCACAGGACAACCTTCTGTCCCGCCTCCACTTCTTCTCAACCCTCCTAAAACTCCTCAAAAAATCAAAAAACCAAAACCAAAAAAAAAAAACCTCCATTGCAACCCAGAACATACTACACCGTGGCCTTTTCTGCCAACAGAGTCTACTTACATCTTGTACTGCACAAAGTAGATGCTGCCATTGCTGCTGACGGAGCTCCCTGGTTGCCAGTGTAAAATGTTGTGGAAATTTCTGGACTGAAATTGAACCTTCTGGGGATTCAGAGATACATGGGCTGGCTGCGTTTCTAAGGTAGCAAGAACATCATTGGACACTACTGTGAGCACTGCTGTTGGGAACAGGAAGTTTTCATGAAATCTCTGCATCAGGAATCCCTGGGGGTAGTTGTTCTAAGTGAAGACAGTGGTGGCAGCGTTAGAAATCAACATTGTTGACTCTTCAATATGATGATTTTGATACATGGTCAAAGTCCCTTCCCCTCTCTCTTTAGTTTTAGTGAATCAACTCAGGGCAAGTTGTCTGCCACTGAGCTATACTCGTAGTCTAAGGTAAAATTGTAGAATGATGTGTGTTTTGTACTAAGACAAACTGGTAATGATATCCGGCCTTGAGCACACCACAATGGGCAGGAGAACTAAAACTCATGGAAAGAACATAGTCTTTATTTCCACATAACAATGGGATGCAACTACTACGATAAAAGACCCATTACCTGTCTTGTTGCTACGAGTACCCAAGTGGAGTTACTCGAGGCACTAACCTACAGCAATGGGGAATTACTCAAGACCTGCTGTGGGCTCTGGTGGGGATGTGAAGTCATAGACAGGAGAAGGAAAGACTTTTTTTTAAAAGCAGGATTATTTATGTTTTCTTCCACAAATCCTATGGTATGGGTGAACTAGCTTTACCTGCGTTTAATCTTATGGAGGCCAAAGATGTATAACATTTTATTTCAGCATTCAAAGTTTCTTACTAGAGAAAAGAATAGTCTTCTTGGGCATTTCTTCTTATTGACTTAATGGTGTTGACATTATTTTGTATGTATTTTGAAGGCCTCCTGCAGGGCTTGAATGATGGTATGGACTTGAAAACAATCTATTTCTCTGTACCCAAATCACACCTGCTTAACCCATCTCAGTACATAAACATTTTCAGGAGATGACAGGCACAATTTCTTGCAGACCCACTCAGAGCTGCCCTGCTAACCTGAAGATGTTTGGCGCCTGCCCTCTCTGGGCTCTCCTTAGATGTTTCTGATATCTTCACTGTTACCACTGTCCCCAGCAATGACTCACACTGCATCAAGCACTGAGAGACTTTTCCCATCATCTGCTCATTGAATTTGTCTAGCCCCACCATGATAATGATTCTGTCACCATCTTCTTGTCTAGAGACCAAGCCTTGGATAGGTGAAAGAACCTTCCCAGGAGAAAGTGTTAAAGCCTATTTCATGCCCAGGCTGACTCAAAAGCCTCCTTCTTACTACTGAAAGCTGTATGTCCTGGGTGAGAGGAATCCATGGGGGAGGAATAATAATAATAATAATAATAATGATACAATAATAGTAATCTGCCTCCTTCTCTTTTAACATTTATTGAAGTGATCAGATAGAAATATGCATAAGCTATTATGCATACTTATCAGAAATACACATAAGCTATTATGCTAATTCTTTTTGATATATCACCAGACACCTACATAAGAGAGATATTTTTATCATTGTATTTCCTGGTGTGAATATAGGCTCAAAAAGTTACAGGTCATGTCCAAGTTTACAGGTGTGGTAAGGTACATTTTTGTGTACAAAAGTAGGTTAGTTTTGCTAGCCCTTGAATTCCTGCTAAGTGAGTCCTTGCTGCCAAGGACAAGAGGCATCACTTACTCTAGTTCACATATTTCTGTCAGATAGAGGCTTGGGTTGTGTTTATGTAGAATCCTAGAACAACTCCAAAGTTAGGGCATTTACTTAACATACTTAAGTGAGAGGTTCCCATCTATTGACTTGGGACTTCAGGGATCTTTTTGAGAGGTGAATTTCGATAAAATGTTCTTGAAGAAATCTCTGTAAACATCATTTGTTTGTGGTATGTGTTCTGTGTGGGAGGCTGCTTTAAAGCACTAACTTGGTCTCCACAATGGCCTATAATCTTCAATCTATAGAAGAGAAAAGTCTCATACATGATGTCACATAAAATGCTTGGTTTTCTGGATAACAAATGGCAGGTGAAACCTAGGTGTTGATATGTGCCTTAGGGCCTTGTGTCTTGTCCTTATAACCATTGGATGAGATCAAGAGAAAGGAGGAGGGTGAGGAGGAGATAGATGGATAGATAGACAGATAGATAGATTGATCAATTGATCGATTGATCGATCAATGAATCAATAGATAGATAGATAGATAGATAGATAGATAGATAGATAGGGAATATGAATTGTTTTCTGCCACGAAAGTAACTCCTCTGTCTTAAACATTCATTCAGGTAACCATGAAACTCTTCATTCAGAGAGCAACTAACCCCATGTCTGTTTGGGCCTTGTCTTCAGTGACCTCACAAAGTCCAGAATATAACCAGCCATACTATCCCTGTCCTGATCAGACTCACAACTGGCCAATTAGAAGGAAGTTAAGCACTTACCTGTTGCACCGGTCAAGAACATGATGAGGAGGCCTAGAAAGCAGTGCTTAGGCATCATGATTGTAAGTGTGCCTGTCTGGTCACCAGTGTTCCTTTCACTGAGGAGGCTGCTGAGAAGGGGAAGTATAAAAATCCACAAATGGATCGTCATTTCCGTAAGCTCCACCAATGGCAAATATTTCCTTAAATTTACCTTATTACATTATTTTACCATTAACGAATAGGGATCTCATATGTGTGTGTGTGTGTGTGT